CGAACCTCGGACCATAGGGTCTAAAGAACGCCTGTGATAGCGACCAAACCACTGCGCCACAACCACCCAGAGTGAAACATTAAAACATCGTCGCAGATAGCGTCGACGTTTGAAGAACTATAAAGAGATGTGCGAGATAACTGTGACCACTAAGCCTGAGCTTAGCTGAGGTTAAACTGGAGGTTCGTTGACAAGAGATTGGGCATTAGGCAACGTGAAGCTAAAAAATCACAACTGGACTGTACGAACAAGTAACCATTTAGTTTGAAGACCAGAAAAAGGTTTAGTCGTTGATGTTTTTGGGTCCACTGTAGTGGTACTGGAAGCCACTTTGCAGTCTGTATGTACACGGACGATAAAGATATGTCAGGTACGGCATTATCGATAAGCAGGTGAAAGAGTTTTTCAGTGGCGCAATCACTGGATGTTGACTCTAAACGATCAGCAGTCGGTCTCTCCAGTTCACATTCAACGAACGAGAGGTCCCATTTGGTTTGAGGTTTATCATGCACTAAATGGGGCAAATTTTCATCTGGACATCTGCATTGAAATCAATCCATCAGAGGCGAACTCGATTGAGGATCGCTTAATACTGGACGAAACTGTCTGCCTTCCGGTTGGTTACCTCTGGTTATTCAACATGACAGGTGAAATTGAAGATTAGTCAGAAACTTGGTAAGGATGTCAACCGTGATCGAGAGAACGTAGAACTTTGTTTCATTCAGACAGAAAAAAGTTCCACCGGACAAAATACCCGTAGCTTACCAGCGTGTAGTAGAGCCTAGATTAACCTCGCTTCAAATTGTCGAAGATCCTTGTCACCCAAAGATAAAACAGACTGCGGTTCCTTGAATTAGCAACACTCATCGCCAGAAATTCGAGAGGGATGTTGCCATAACTCACCTTGCCATGATGATACATATTCACGCGAATCCAACCAAATACGAGCAAGATACGGAAGGCTATCAGTTTGAGTTTGTTCAACCACAGAGGTGATTTACAAAAACCGGCCATGGTATTTCGGGATGGAACACATGGGGTCATAAAAAACCCGCACATCAGTTGAAAAATCATGAGCACAAAGGATGCGGTTGACAAAAATCGACCATGAACCGGATGCTGCAAGAGCGTTTCGGTGGGCGAAAGAAATGAAAATATAAATAAGAAAATTATTTCACTTCGACTTATTGGACATACTCTTTAAAGGGGAAATCAATATTTCGGTTAAAAAAACAGCCTGATTAAATACCTTTCCATAGGCTGAAGAATGGGCACGATTGACATTGGGTGCTGGCTGTACACCAGTATAACCTTGTGCGTATAGCACACCGGCAGCATTATCCACGCCCGGTCGAGCGGTAGGTGGCGGTGCCACCATAGTGCGATTTGCACCGGGACCATTGGGGGGATGTGTCACGGGAAGAGCAGCTGCCGCGGCAACTGCAGCTGCAGCCACTGCAGCAGTGGATGAGTCCGAATTGGTTTCCACCGCCACTGCAGCTCCAGTGTTGGTCCCAGTCGAGGGCACCTGCGGATTGACGGGATAAACTCCATTTCCCGGAGCAATAATGGGTAGTTTGCGTTCCGTGTGCGGACTGCCTTCGATAATCTGGAGTATTCGGGGCAAGTAATGGACGACACGATCCAGTGCGTGATCCCAAGCGCTCCTGTAACAAACAGAGGTAATCGATCCAATGAATGAAGACTAGACATCACAGTGAAACGATAAAAAGGTGCTGTAAGTTTGGCCCGCTCCTCAGGCTTAAACTAATGAGTGATGAGAAGGAAAACAAAAGACCGACATCACTGAGGCTGTTCAGGAGGAAAAAGTCATCATCGGAGCGGGCATGAATGTGTATGCGATTTGAGATAATAACAGAATGGCCAGAACAGCGTGCTCGCAAGACCAAATAGAAGGAGGCGAGTAAGCTAAAAACGAGGGTAGTGCTTGACTTCCAGTCTAATACATTTTATCAAGTGAGTCGTGGTGCGAGACGAGATTCATCAACTTATTCTCTCCAACTCGAATGGTTCATTTACTCGGAATATTGTGAGTGCATCCAGTGGACCATATTCATGGGGAGCACGTGGAATAAGTTGCACTTACTACCAAGTGATTCACTAAGACGAAAAGATGCTGTTGAGTAGAATTTTTCGATGCGGCTCGGCTGCGCTTATCCGAAAAAGCTGCGTCAGACAGCAATGGCTGAGCAGAACTGTTCACACACCCTACTTAAACGTTTGTGGTGGGGAAAGCAGGCCGCGCCGCGTTAATCTTTCTCTGCTCACGAAAAACACGTCACGATTTTCGGTCATTGCAAGATGCACTTAACGGACAGTGACAAAGCATATTTGGTTCGGCCTGGAGGAGGATTTCCATCATAGCAAGTATTATACCTGGTACGATCGATTACAGTGTGTATCCACCAGGTAGGCAGAAAACGGCTTGTTTTTCTCTGAACCGAGCTGAACGTTTGCAGACACAACTATTATCAAATCATTTCTCAACTAACCCGTTGTCACTGGCTTCTTTAAACCATTTGTTTCACTCTTGCTCGATCCGGGTTTTCACAGATGAAGCAACCGGTTTTCTCTTTAACAGATTGAGACGGTTGAATCTTTCTCATATTTCCCGAGAACTCAGACCTGACCTAATGAGCCACCGTTGAGCGACCGTCCGTTAAGTCCATCTCTGGAATGGCTGACACTTGTGGGCTGCTTTTCACGAGCAGAGAGAGGTTAGCACGAAGCGGTCGGTTTTCCAACCACAGACGATTCAGAAGGGTGTGTGGACGGGCTTGTGAGTTGTGCTCACACATTGCTGTCTGACGCAGTTTTGTCGGATGTAAGTGCAGCCGAGCCACATCTGAAAATTCCGTTCAGCAGTGTGTTTTCCTCTTAGTGAATCGTCTGGTAGATGGTCGGTGGAAATGCATCATGGATAGTCTCTGACTACATGAACTAAGTATCGTGTGGAAATGAAGTTTGAGGATAATTGATTATCACAATAAGACATACCGGATTCGCCCATTTAGAGTAAAAGCCACATTAACTAGTAGTAGTAATACAACACGCCTGGGAATTCCTTCATTGAACCACAAAACCCCCACCCCCTGCCTGTCTTTCTCTCTCTCCATAACTTTTCGCAAATGGGATTGGATGGCCATTCAAAAGTTGAGTATCGGCCCACAACTAGCCTAAATGCAACAAAGCGTTAGTGTCCAATCGTGATCTAACAGAATGATTGGCGGACAAGTGCATGAAAAGACTGTCTGAGAATTTTCGGGTGATCGACTTGCGCTGACCAACAGTAAATCAGTGTTTTGCTAAAGTAAGAAGTACTATCAGATTCGATCATGAATGATTTTATCAGAGATCTGTTTTTTGGTCCCGTCCATAACAATAGATATCAACTGTTCGTTCGTGGGGGGAGGATCTCTCTGGTGCGGATGAGCAGGATCGGTGGTCAGGCCGAAAGACAGCTTCAACATAGTTCGAAGACTACTCGTATTCTATTAAGGGTCAGGGAGAATTTCTTCCATAGAACTTGCATGACAACGAAAGTGTTAGCTGTAAATAGCGATGAATATCAATGGTCCATAAAACAGTGTGTAACCTGCATAACTTGCATCTAGTGATCGGGGTATCGGTAGAGAAGCCTTAGCAACTATAAATGCATCAAAAATCCATTGGCAACCGAGTGGGAGTCACTGATATCAACGAATAAAGATTCCAGAAACTGTCATGTGTGAAAAACTATTCCAACAAACGGCTGAGCGACCGATTACTTTTGGTGTGGCTACTACGATGTGGTTGTAAGTATTTCTATACTGACAATCGTACGTCCTATTTTTGCAACTACTTTTGACTACCTCTAACAAAACCCTCTAAAATGCTTCAAATGTAACGAAAACTTTCTCCAGTATTAGTTTATCTGGTTCGACCTGCCGGGGGCGGAAGTACATATGAATAAAACATAGGGAGAAGTATGTGAAATCGACAAATTCTGCATATGGTTGTTGTTAGTGAAGCAAACATTTATTCGCACAACCTGGCAATACAAATAGTTAAAGCTAAATTTGGTCTTCTGTATCAAAGCTGTGGCTGTTAGTTGTAAGCGATACACAAAGT